ATTTGGCAATTGAATGAAGGGATGAGTGAGGTTTCTAGCTTCTGCAACTGAAGGACTCTTTCTTCCAGGCACAGGAAAAGAGTTTATGAGGAAACATGTAGAGCTGAGGATTTTTTTTTAATTGATTTTTTACAGAGAGAAAGGGAGAAGGACAGAGAGTCAGAAATGTCGATGAGAAAGAAACATCGATCAGCTGCCTCCCGCACACCTCCCACTGGGGATGTGCCCACAACCAAGGTACATGCCCTTGACCGGAATCGAACCTGGAAACCTTCAGGCTGCAGGCCGACGCTCCATCCACTGAGCCAAACCGGTTAGGGCTAGCTGAGGATTTTTAAAATATATATATTTTTATTGATTTCAGAGAGGAAGGGAGAGGGAGAGAGAGATATAGAAACATCAATGATGAGAATCATTGATTGGCTGCCTCCCGCACGCCCCCTACTGGGGATTGAGCCTGAAAACTGGGCATGTGCCCTTGACTGGAATCGAACCCGTGACCTTTCAGTCTGCAGGCTGACACTCTATCCACTGAGCAAAACCGGCTAGGGCAGGATGTTTTTGAGATACCTAAGTGGAGAGGTCAATCAAGTGGCTCAGAGGAGGGTATGGGAGTCATCAGTAACCAAAGCTCAGAGTGGGGATGAAACAATCCTAGAAAAAATAGGCTGAGAAAGAACAGGACCCAGAGAAACTTTTAGATTTAAAGGCTGAAGGGGGAGGGGGGGGCGGGGAGGAGGGGTGTGGGAGTGAGCCTGCAAAGGAGGCTAAGAAGCTTTGGCCAAAGAGGTAGTAGTTAAAGTATGTGAGTGGAATCGCAGATGCTAGGAGAAGACTGTTGATGAGAAACTAGTCAATACTACCAGATGCTACTGAGAAGGGAAAGTAAGCTGAGGACTGCGAAATAGCCACTGAGTTTAGGAATGTGGAGGTCACCTGGTGAGCCAGTGTGACCTCAGTATGAACTATTTCAATAGAATAAAGGTTGTAGAAGTCAAAACAGACTGGGTGGCCCTGGCCAATGTGACTCAGTTGATAGAGCACTGAAGGGTCATGGGTTCAATTCCCAGTCAAGGGCACATACCTGGGTTGCAGGTTTGAACCTGAGCCCCAGTTGGGGCATGTGCAGGAGGCAACCAATCTATGTTTCTCTCTCTCTCTCTGCCTCCCTTCCTTCCACTCTCTCTAAAAATCAATGGACTCCTAATCGGTTTGGCTCAGTGGAAAGAGCGTCGGCCTGGGGACTGAAGGGTCCCAGGTTCGATTCCAGTCAAGGGCATGTACCTTGGTTGCGGGCACATTCCCAGTGGGGTGTGCAGGAGGCAGCTGATTGATGTTTCTCATCGATGTTTCTGACTCTATCCCTCTCCCTTCCTCCCTGTAAACAATTAATAAAATATATATATATTTTTTAAAAATCAGTGGAAAAAATATCCTCAGATGAGGATTAACAAAAAACAGACACCAGACTGGGTGGAGGAATGGGATGGAGAGAGCCAAAGTATTCAACTGCTTTCAGTATCAAGTGGAAAAACAGGTTGGTAGCTGGAGAGGAAATGAGGTACAGAGTGGTTTGTTTTTCTATCAAGGGAGTGTTTAGCATGTTTAAACACTGATGAGAATTTAGTAAAGTGGGGGAAAGTCAGCCATTCCCAAAGAAGGAAGGACTAGGTTTCAGGGCACAGGAATAGGCACTGGCCTTAAGAAGAATGCTGGGCCCGTTTAGACAGTTCAGAGGAGAAAGATGCAGATGTAGGTGGGTGACCAGATGTGAGAGTTCTCAGCTGACAGCTTTATGCAGGAGAGATGACTGGAAAAATCCAGTGGGATTATAGGGGCTCAGACTCCATTTGAAGTTGGTAACTATGGATCTATAGTAATATAAATCTGCTTTATAGTGATTTCATTGGGTGACCAAATGCAGACAGACAAATGTTTCATTTTATCTATGCATCCAAAAGAGATGAAAGGTAAGGAAACAGTCTATTCCAAGAGAATCACTAGAATTTAAGCTCGATAGGAATCCAGAGAAGGTGGAAGCAATGGCCTGACTGCCCCAGTGACTCAAAAAATGATAAGGAATAGTTCAATCAAGTGAAAGGAATATGGTCAGTGAATAAGATGCAAGTAATAGTGTTTTGAAGATAAGAGCAGTTGGGGGTGAAGACAATGGCCAGGACATAAGTATGGGAGTGGATGCCCAAGAAAGTGGAAATCGCTAGATTGTGTCAGAGAATTAAGAGACCAAATACTGGAGTGTCCACATAAACATAAAAGTATCAATGAGTGGACAGGAAGACTAAGGGGTAGCTCCTTAGAGGAATGTAGGAGAGTGGTAGTTACTAAGGACAAATAACGAGAGGGTGGTACACTTGAATAGCCTCAAAGGTGCAGGAAGCCACCCATTGTCTTCACTAGCAGAGAAGTGCAAACAAGGATCCCGGAACGCTGGTGAACCTTGAACCCATGGCAAGGGCCAGAGTTATGCACCAATTGTCTAGTCCAGACAATGGGGGCTCAAGTTATTTCCTGATCAAATAGTCTCAGAGTAAATCCTCTAGTATTTACTGACCTTTAAGATAGTCTGTCTGCTACCAAAATTGCCTGCCTGCCTAAGGGCTTTATGTGTATCCAAAGTTGAATAAAATGTTGGCGAAGCCTGGGCACCAGAAGTCCTTCCCCTTGAGTTGGGCTTGCCCGCCTGGCCCCCAATATTTCCAAATTATTTCTTGTCTCGTCTCTTTCATTTGCATGTGGCCCCTCCTCCAGATCCTGAACCCTGAACCAGGCGGGATGTGGGGGAACATTCACAAAAGGAACCAGACTTTGCAAAGGAATGGGCAGTTATGCTCTGAAGCCAGAATGGACAGGAACACTAACCCTCTCTCCAATGTCTGTGGTAATCAGATAAAGTTTTGTCAACATTTATTCTCATTGTGCTTGAAACATCACATGTGCTCATTATGCCAATGGCAAGACCTATGGGAGACTCCAGCAATAATGGAAGATGGATGGTAGGAATAAGGTTCTTATAAATATTAAGAGAAAAGAAACAGGACAGAAGAGATTGGAAATTTAAGAAAGGGACTAATTGATGGAGCAGACTGAGGGACATTTGTTTCTCCATGCCTGGGGAGAGGTTTGGTACAGATAAATAAGCAAATAGCTCTGGAAGTTCAAAGGCCTTCTATGTTCCTAGCCCTTCTCCAGTAATTATTAATTACATGACTTGGAAACACAGATCATTCATAATCATATGGCAGTTTAATTACAAGGAAGTTTGTTGCAAGGACACCCACAAATGTTGATGTGGAAGAATCCTTCCACCAGCAATACAATATCCTGGATCCCCATTTCCTTGTGTCTGGAAATTGGGAAGTTCACAAGCTGATTTCCTGCATTTATACTTTCCAAGGAAAGAATTTTATTGGGTAGATATGAAGCCACTTGGTAAGGAAGTTCCTGGCCAGCAACTTTTACTTTCTAATAAACCTTTCTATTCAAGATTTGTTCATGGGACAGCAGCTAGCTAAAAGGCAAAAAGTAATAGGAGCCACTTTTCTCAACAGGTGACTATGTATATAAGATGTGCTTCTAGTACATTCTGGATTCTTGCTTCTTCATCTGTTAAGAGGGGGGATAGTACCCCTTACTTGTACTTTTGTCATAAAGATTAACTTAGGTAAAGCATGACATATACCAACATCAGAACCTATACAAAGTAGGGGCTCAATAGATATAATTTTGAGAGGTAGCCTGTTACAGTATAAAAACAAAAACATGGATTTTAAAGTCAGATCTGTTTGTTTGTTTTTAGAGAGGAAAGGAGAAACATTGATTTCACGTTCCACATATTTATGCACTCATTGGTTAATTCTTGTATGTGCCCTGTCTCAGGATTGAATCTCCACCTTGGCCCATCATTGCTGGAGTCTCCCTCAGGTCTTGCCATTGGCGTAATGAGCACATGTGATGTTTCCAGCACAATGCTCTAACCAACCGAGCTACTTGGCCAGGGCAAGTCAGATCTGTATTTTAATACAGGGTCTACTATTCGAGAATTTCAAACTCCTGAGCTATACGAGGGAGAAAACTGTGTGCTTTGTGGGTGGTTGTAGGAAGTTATTTTTATTACTGTGGGAACCAATGTCTAAGAGCTTCCATTTCCACTGAAAAAAATGACACATGGTCAGTTGATGGGGAATAGTTGAGGGTGAGGTGAAGGATTAAGGAGAGCAGTAAGGTGTAATAACTGCCATGTTAAGGACAGTGAATAGACCAGGAACCCACAAAGGGTTGCTTGTTGGTAATGATGGCTTGGTTGAGGTTGGAACCTTAAATACTTAGTGACATTCATTACACAGCTGTGTTTTTCTCTAGCAGTTTGAATGGAGGAACAGAAAAGATTAAAGAGCTGGAATGATACAAAAGGACACAAGAGCAGCAAGAAAATGTGGTGATGGAGTGATAGGTCATTCACACTGTTGAAAGCAGAAGTAAATTCCACAAAGGGGAGGAAATAAAAAGAATGGATAGGTGGGGACTAGAAATCACAGAACAGGCAGAGTGGGAACGTGGGGTAAAGGTGGAAGAGCTGGAATTAGATTATAAATAAGCAGTGAGACAGAAGTAACATTAAAGAAGTCCCATAGATTTTGCTTATCCCTTCCTTTCCACAACCATCATCATCACTTCTCTCTTGGATTTCTTTATCTCAAGCCTGACCATATTGCAGAATATGGGCCCTCAAGTTTCCCTCTTTCTGATCACCCCTGAAGCAAAAAAAAAAAAAAGTCTTCTTAAAAAATAGTAAAGAAGTAACAACTTGGGGATATGGTTAAAGTTTCAGAACATTCAGAATTCTTATAGGTTTCATCTGTTCTGGAGTTACTGATTTATAAGGAGGTAGTCCCCCAAAACCCTGTTGTCCTTAGATGTCTCCTCTTTTCTCTAAATCTAGCAGAATTCCCTCTTGCAAGACACAATCCACACACAAAAAGTTATGAATGAATGCATACCCAGCTCACAAGTGAGCCATTAAAGTCAGACAGACTTTATTTAATGACAGCTAAACGGAGCTCCTATTTTCTCTGTCATCCAGCCAGGACTAGCCTTCCTGTTACTATTACCAACCTTAAAAAATTGCATCCACACACCTCGGTTTAACCAGGTGCCTGGGGAATGAATGCTGAGGTTTTCCTTCTACACATAGAAGGCAATTTCCCTGCTGTCAGGGTTGAAGCCAGCAGATATGCACGGACAAATAAAGGATGGTGCTAGTCAAGTGGGCAGAGCTTCTTCGCCCAGAACACAAACCAAACAGAATGAAAGCGGGTTTATTAGCTCCAGAAAAAGGAGCAACAGTACCCAGCTCCAGGCAACTCCTCACTCTCTATACGGGCTGCACCCAGCCTAAGGTCCACTGGCTCCTTCAATGTGAGGGTCCATCCAGTGCCTCCCTTCCTGGGTTGGGATGGCTAGCTGCCTGTGGGCGAGCTTCCCGGCTGTTCAGCAGCAGCCCCTGGCCCAGCGGAGGCAGCCTCGTAGTCTGCGATGCGGCGCTGCACCAGGGCAGGCATGAGCTGCACATAGGCGGCCATGAGGCGGTGGTTGGAATGGATCAGCTTCCCAGCACAGCTGTGCAGGCAGGCCTCCTGGAGGGAAGACAGGGTGGAGGCAGAGGCCAAAGGTGGCCTGTCAGGTGCGTCTCCTGTCTTCCCCTTCCCAGCCTAGGGGCGAGGGTAAAGGAAAGACTCGGCCAAAGGTTGAAGGGAAGTGTGGGGAGGAGGAAGGCAGTCGCGGTTAACTCGGAGGAGGAAGAGTGGCTCCCTACTCGGTTCCCCACCTCCTCAGCATCCAGGGCCCGGTGGTGCAGGCTGGGCACGCAGCGCTGGAAGCAGAGTTCCGTCATCCGATTGTAGACCAACAGGAAGTCCCGCAACTGGAAGAGAAGGGGACCAAGGACGCAGCGATAAGGGGGCCCACACCTCAATTCTGGGCCGCGCCGCCTCGGCGTTTCCCAGGACCGCGCACCACGGCCCATGTCCCCAGCCCTTGGCCCCCTGGCTCTCCGGGGTCCCGCCCTGCGGACGGGGATGCGAGCTGAATGTAAGGTCCCGAAGCCACTTCTAGCTGCTACTCACATTTCTCAGCTGCTGCTGATGCTGCTGCTCCATCCCGCCCCAGGAGCACGCCCGCCCTTACTTCCGTTTCAGCGTCTCGGTCACGCCCCGGAAGTAATCTCCGGTAGCTTTCCCCGAGAACTGAAGGGTTGGTTTAAGGATCGCCCTGCCCCCCGCTCAGCGTCACTTCCGCCCTTACAAACTGCGACGTGGCCGGCTTCTTCTGCCCGGGCGGGGACGTCACTTCCGCCGAATCCCTGACCTGCTGCTAGGATCGCGACGGGAACGGGAGCCCGAGGTCCCCGCGCGGACCGGGCCTGGCGCCCCGAGGGGAAGAGCAGCCCAGCCCGAGGTGAGAGGGGCGTACTTAGTCCAGTGGAAGTTGAACGCATGAACCTGTCCTGAGGGCAAGATACCTCTGAGCTCAGGGAAGGATGAGGACACACCTGATGCCCAGGTGTATGGGGTGGGGGTGGGGGGATAGGGAAACACACCTGGGGACACATAACTGACTTTGGAAGGGTTCAACTCTATCCTGGGAAAAAGAGGCTTTTCCCAGAGGCCGAGAACATACACCAACTGATTCAATTAAGGCCTGGTGGAGAGGGCGAGGAAGAGAAGGTGCATGGGGTGGAGGAGGGGGAGATCACTTGAAGGAAAGGGGGAGACACACCAAAGGAGTGTGCAAGGTCAAGCCCTGGGTGACATACCTGAGCCCTGGAAAGGGGTTCATCTCCTGATGGGGAGAAACACCTGCATGGGGATAAGCTCCAAGAGAATACAGACTGTATCCATTTTGTTCACTGCTGAATTTCCAGGGCCTCAGATAGTGCATGGCACATAGTAGGTACTCGGTCACTGTCTGTTGAATGATTGAATGCATGAATGATCACGGAGTTCTGGTGGGGTTGGACAGTCAGGAGAAGACACCTGAGGCCTGGGTGTGCATGTGTAAAACTATGCACCTTGGAGGGGAGAGATACATATGCTACCTGACGAAAGGAGTGGCAGCCAAATCAAGACACTCAAGCCCTGGGAAAACCTCTAAAACCTCAGAAATGGTAGGGGGGACCTTTCTCTTCTGGAGATCTGGCCAGTTTCCAGAACTGTCTGTGTTGGGCTTTGCAGGGCGCTGGGGTGGAGACATTGACTCCGGTCCCTTCCCTAGCCATGACGGACGGGATCCTAGGGAAGGCAGCCACAATGGAGATCCCCATCCATGGGAATGGCGAAGCTGGGCAGCTTCCCGAAGATGATGGTCTGGAGCAGGTGCTTCTGTTTGATTTTTCTCCTTATTGTCTCATTTTAGGAATACCAACTCATAAACCCTGGGCTCTCTATTTTAGTCGCCTTCCCTAATTTATCTAACTCCCTTCAATCTTTTTACAAATTTTCGTTTTGATTCTGTGCAGACTTCCCTTGTGTGCTCTCTCTATGATGCTTCAATCCAAGCTTGTTCTCACCCCCAAAATGCTTCAGCTGCCCCTATGTTCCTGAAGCCCCCCTCTTCTCTGGCCTATAGGACCTCCAGCAGGTGATGGTGTCAGGACCCAACCTCAATGAAACCAGCGTTGTGTCTGGTGGCTATGGGGGCTCTGGTGATGGACTCATCCCCACAGGTATGAATGATCAGACCAGGACGGGAAGCTTGAGTGAGGATGGGGAGAGGAATGGTTCTGGGGAGCATAGGCTATGTCTGAGAAAGCTTGAATTATCTTGGGAGATCTTGGAAACTCCTGCTAGTGTGAACCCTATGGAGTCCTCACCCCAAGGCCAGTTCCCAGGGTTGTCCAACTGCTCCCATTTGCCATTTCGCCTGAGGTGCAGCCTTTTTCTCCGCTGCCACCACCTGAGTCACGTTAGGGACGCTTCCACAGAAGTTTCCCCTGCTCTAGAGCTTGATGTTGGATCTTTATGAGGCTTCTCAGAGTTGGTACTTTAGACTCTAAAATTTAGAGGAATAAACAGCCCTGAACCTCACAGACTGTGATACCACATGGGAATGTCAACCAGGTTTCCTGTTATCAGGACCCACCATCCTTGATCTCCTAGCCCACCTTCTGTGTATTTCCTGCTGTTTCCTCTGCCCCTATCCACCTCCCTCCCCCTCCAATCCCCACCACCACCTCAGAGGAGGCCAGATGTATATTGGGATTTGGGTTTCAGGGCACAAGATATGAGTTCCTCCTAGTGAGTAGGAGAATCTAATTGTCTCTAGCTTCTGCTCCTTCACAAAGTCCTTTTCAGGTGCTGGGAGGGAAGAATGGGTGGAGCCACAGAGGTGTCTGGTTGTATCTGAGAGAGGCTGGTGTCAGAGAACTTGGTCCTTTAGGGTCTGGCCGCCATCCATCTCACAGTGCCACTCCTGCTAGCCCTGGAGATGAGGTGGCTCGGGGCATCGCTGGAGAGAAGTTTGACATCGTCAAGAAATGGGGCATCAACACATATAAGGTGGGATTCAAGCACCTCTCCCTTCCCCCCAAACTTCCACGGGTACCTTTCCCCTTCTCCCAGATCCTAATATTCCATCTATGGCTGAGACTAGGAGTCTGGGTATACTGGGGTACATACTTGTTGTGGGGGCAGGGTGCTAGGGTCTCTGACTGCTTCCCCCACTTCCCCATCAGTGCACAAAGCAGCTGATATCAGAGCGATTTGGCCGAGGCTCTCGGACTGTGGACCTGGAGCTAGAGCTGCAGATTGAGTTGCTGCGTGAGACGAAGCGCAAGTATGAGAGTGTCCTGCAGCTGGGCCGGGCACTGACAGCCCACCTCTACAGCCTGCTGCAGACCCAGCATGCACTAGGTGACGCCTTTGCTGACCTCAGCCAGAAGTCCCCAGAGCTTCAGGTGCCTCGGCCAGGCCAACGAGGGTGGGGGGACTGGGCCCAGGCCCTCCCAGGCAGTCACCCCTCAGCCTCCCTCCCTCCCTCCTGCAGCCCAGAGGGAGAACCCCTACAGGGTGGGCCCAGCCCTGCCCCCAGCAGCACTCACCTGTGGAGGCAGCTTAAGGGTTTGTACAGAGGTCCAGAAGTTGGAGGGGCTGTGGGAGGCGGCACACTGGGTGCCTCACAAGTAACCCTTCTCTGCATTTGTGAGAATGCCTTTGATGCTCAGCCTAATCCGAGCCCCTCCCTTGCCTGCTGCACTAGCTTTCTCTGTTCTAGTCCTGTGAACTTATCTGAGAACCCCACTCCCACATTCCCACCCCAGGCATCCCCAGGGTGGCCCCACTAACTTTCTGGCTAAGAGAGCCTTGCTGGAGGCAGTCCTTGGTCGTTCCAGTTTTGATGGCTGCTTCCTCCCTGGGGAAGAGGGGAATGAAGGGCCCTACAGCTCCAGTCAGGTAGGGACTCTTTCTCAAGGCCTGTCCCTCCCTTCTGCCCTCAGGAGGAATTTGGCTACAATGCAGAGACACAGAAGCTGCTGTGCAAGAATGGAGAGACACTGCTAGGGGCTGTGAACTTCTTTGTCTCTAGCATCAACACATTGGTCACCAAGACCATGGAAGACACACTCATGACTGTCAAACAGTATGAGGCTGCCAGGTGTGGGCACTGGCAGGGCCTAGGGCTTTGGGAGTTGGCTGGCTTGGGTGGAAATTTGAGGTTAGGGTCATAAGAATTCAGGAAGGAAAGGAGAGTGTGGAGGACAAAGGGGTGGAGATGAGCCTATATCACCCCCTCCCCAGGCTGGAATATGATGCCTACCGTACAGACTTAGAGGAGCTGAGCCTAGGCCCTCGGGATGCAGGGACGCGTGGTCGACTTGAGAGTGCCCAGGCCACTTTCCAGGCCCATCGGGACAAATATGAGAAGCTGCGGGGAGATGTGGCCATCAAGCTCAAGTTCCTGGAAGAAAACAAGGTGCCAACCCCACCCCGTTGACCCCAGCCCATCTTCCCATCTGTAACACTGACCCTCCCCCCAGACCCTGCCCATCGTTGGATGGAGTAATGCAGTCTGGCTAAGGAGTGGGATCTTCTTAGCCCCCTCAACCCCTGGACCTTTCCGGGTCTCCCTCCTTCCAATCCCTGGCCCTTTTCTGTTGAAGAGTTGACTGCTGGTCCCAGGATCATGACAGAAAAATCATATCCTGAGTTGTGGTACCAGAACCCCAGCCCCAGCAAATCGAGTCAGGTTTCTCCCATCAGCTTAACCTTTCTCCTTTGATTCCATTGGTGTTCAAACCCTACCCCCAAAGCACCGTCAGAGCAGAATGCATGCACCCCTGGTCTGGTCTCAGGCTTAGCCCCTCAAGAAGGGCATCTGAGTCCAGCCTCAGCTGACCCTCTGGACCCCCAGATCAAGGTGATGCACAAGCAGCTGCTGCTCTTCCACAATGCTGTGTCCGCCTACTTTGCTGGGAACCAGAAACAACTGGAGCAGACCCTGCAGCAGTTCAACATCAAGCTGAGGCCTCCAGGAGCTGAGAAGCCCTCCTGGCTAGAGGAGCAGTGAGCCGCTCCCAGACCAACCTGGCTGTCATAAAGACACTGGGAGGGGCAGTCCCAGGGTGGGGGAGATCGGACATGGGATATCCCTTGCCACCTGCCCTCAGGCGTGGGCTCCTTTCCCCTTGCTGGGGCCTGACACCAGTTTTGCCCACATTGCTGTGGGTAGGGATGGGGCCTGCAGGCCTAGCAGTTGCTGCCCTGTCCCTTATCTTCCTGGCCACTGGGCTTTGTTCCCAGATCTTTTCCTTCCACTCCACAGCCAAAGGCTATGACAAAACCACTCCCTGGCCAATGGTATTGCTCAGGCCTATCCCCAGCTCCTGGGGTCTGCCCCCGACCAATGGCAGAGCCTCAAAAGGCCCTGTCAGCCAAAGGCAGCTCTTCTTGGGCTCCCCTGGGCCAATGATGTTGCCTCCAGTACCCTTTGTCCCTCCTCTATGCGTGCCCATTGCAGAGAAAGGGACTGGGACCAAAGGGGTGGGAATAATGGGGAGCCCCATTTCTGGCCCTGCATCAGAATGGGCATCCACCCAGTTTAATTGTGCTTAGAGCCCTGGAAGATTGGGACCTAGCACTAGGAATAAACCTTTCATAAAAGCAGGCCCAGTGAGGTCAATTTGTGGGGGACTCTAGGAGGGTGGGCTGGGTAGAGAAATGCTCAGTCTAATACACCAAAATCCTATCAAGTCAGAAGAGCTGGGGACAGACAACTGAAGTCAGAGGTTTCCAGAACAGTCTGAGGACCCACTCTCCTCCCCCAGACCCAGTTTGAGCAAAAGCTTCATTTGCCCTTCAGGCCAGCACCAAGATAGCTAAGGATCTTAAGAGCACAGGGCCCAAGGGGGGTTGGGCCCGCTGGCCATCATGCATTCATTGATACAGCAAATATTTACTGAGAGCTTTTACTTGCCTGGCACTGCCCTAACCCCTGGGGAAACATCAGTGAATAAAGCACAGTCCCTTCCCACAGTGCTTACGGTCTAGTGAGGAATAGAGACAAGTAACCAGGCAACTACAATATGGTGATAAGTACTAGGATACAGAAGTTCAGGGAGCTATGGGAGCACAGAGGAGGGGCATCTCTCCTAGACTGGAGTGGAGATGGGCTTGTCAACTTGAAAGCTGAGAGAAAGGGTATTCAGACAGCCAGAAAGAGTGGAGGAAAGAGCATCGTAGGCTGAGAGGCCAATATGTGAAGGCCCTGAGTAGGAATCTGGAGGAATTAATGGAGTTTCACCAGGATGAAAGATGAAGGGGAGTGGCTAGAGGAAGACTACAGAGGCAAGGCAGTAAGAGCTCAGGGTAGGCCTGCCTCTTCAAGCCCATTAAGGACTTTTGCCCTTTGGAGAAGAGGAACCATGAGGCCTTTTCGGCAGAAGTATGATGGCATAGGAGAAGTCTAGGGTCGAGGAAAGTAGTCCTTGTGAAGCTTAAACTAGTGTAACATAGACCCCAGTTCCCTCATAGTCGGTAGTCTAGTAGCTCTGGCCCAGTCTCCAAAGCAAGCATGAGTCCTATCTGAGGCTGGAACACCTGTGCTAGAGGCCTGAACTCAGGTGGATGTGAGGTTGAGGCAGTTTCCAGGGCCCCTGTTGAGCCCAAAATCTGAACCTTGTCTGAGGCAGGAAAGCTCTCCAGCAGCACTTTAATTGGGCCGGAGCTCAGGTGCCATCACCTCTGCTCCTTGGCTAAGGAGAGCCCCAGGATGTTTCAACACTCCCCTACCTGCGAGGAGGACTGGAGGAGGGGACACCCCCGTCAGCAGATGCTCCCAGCACTGAGATCCAGGTGCAGCCCGACTTCGCCCTTTGTCACAGATACTGCAGCTCCCAGGCAGGCTTCCTGGGCTTTGGTCAGCCTGCAGTCACCTGACTGCAGCTTGATTATTAGGGGAGGGGTGACCCCCACTTTATGAAACACTGGGGATTTTTGAACATGAAAGGTACTGATGAATCCAAGTGACTGGCGGCAGGACCTTAACACAGAGCTCAAACAAACGCTGGTTACACCACTTTCTAGCTGAGTGATCAGGGTTAACTTCTAGGGAGCCGGGCCCTCAGTTTCTTACATTGTATAACACGGCTAATAAAAGAAGCTACCTATTAACAATATTAAAGGAGATAATATATGTAAAGAGGTTCGTTGTGTGTCTGGCCCAATATAAGCACTCAGTCCCTGTGAACTGTTGTTATAATTTTTATTATTTTCCACGGGGGCTGCTTTTCCCCAATGCGATGATTCTGAGAATTGCTCTGGTCTTTGGAGTGGGGAAGGGAGTCGCTGGGTGGTCGGAACCGTAATTTCCTCGCCAGGGTGCTCCTCAGGGAGAGCCAGGCGGCTAGAGCGGGATCAAGTCCCCCCACCTTCCTACCCCGTCACCCCCTTCCCGAGCTCTGGGTCCTGCCCGGGCACCTTGGGGCCCTTCGCCGCCGAGATCCGTGTGGAGGTACAGGATGATTCCTGTCTCCCACGATCAACGGGGACCACACAAGCATATTCCGTAGGGGACCCCCGCCCCCAGAAAGCCGGGCAGGGAACCCCCGGGAGGCAGCCCGAAGCCGCTCCCGGAGTCCGAAACCCCTGCTGTCCAGCTGGCCTTTTCCTGACCGAGCCTCCTCTGGTCTCCGAGACCCACCGTGCCGCCTGCCCCGGAGCCGCTGGGGCCTGAGGCAGCCGGCGGGGACCTGGGGCCGAGGATCCGGGACGCGAGATCCGGGATCCGGGATCCGGCTCTCGGGTGCCCCAGCCCGCGAGCCAGCAGTCCTCGCCCGAGGTTCCGAGCGGGGCCGTGAGGGGGGGGGGCGGACCCTTCCCAGAGCGGACGGTGAGAACACGGTCTTCAGGCCCGGGCATGTCTAATTTCACTGCTGTTCACCTCATCAACCCGAAAACTTCTATCAGATGTGATGTAGGGTAGTGAGGCAGAGC